CCTTGTGCTCATCTGTTAAATATATTATTTTTTTGAAAACACTTAACTTACCACTAAACAGACTTTCTATTTAAAGGAATGTGCCTCTCACCCTCTGACACTGGCACCTAACAGTGTCTAGTGAGAAAGACAAACTCAATTACAGCTTATATAGTTAAGGAATCATAAACTACACATGTTGAAGTGCTGCTGACATATTAGCATGAGGGGAAAAAAGTCTCAACTACTAAGATGTGGAATAAATAGCACTTCATAGAAGACAATTATACTTTTTTTTTTTGAGTTCAGAAAATTAAGTAGTTATCAAAAATTAATTTCTCTAGAAGAGTTTCATGAAAATTGACCTATTATCCGGTCTGCTCATAGCACTTTGACATTTCCTTATTTAACTTGCTGCTGCAAAAGCTAAAGGAAAGAAAGAGTAGAACCTTATTAATCAGTCAAATTTACACATCAAATGACAACTACCAACTATTTATTTTAACAGCCAAAACTTAAAAGTGCTCCAATCAAAAACATGATCTTCCCAAACCAGTAGCCCCTTCAGAGATGGAGATTTTTTAGTGCAATATGGAATAGTAAATAAATAGTTCAATAGTAAGTAAATAAGTATTAACTTTTAATTAGCAAAACTGAAAAAAAAAATGCAAATCAACAAGAATCTAAGCCCAGCAGTTTCTACTTGCAAAAGAAAATGAAGTATTCAGATGGGCATTTTTTTGCAGCTATGCGGGGTACGTTGAGAAGAACTCTGCCTCCACCTACTGGGCCAGCTACAAAAATACTTGTAGTTTGAAAACAGCACAAGGAATCAGATTGCAGAGCCATCTATATAAATACACTACTCAATTATACTGAAGATACTCGTTTGACAGACCTTCTTCTTCTCCCTACTGTTAGGTCTCTACATGCCTTATGTTTGTGGACATTATACTTCATTGTTTAATCTTGCCTAAATCCGTTCTTAAGGTTGGTCCACAGCCAAAGACTACCTACCTACCAGTCAAAATACACTGTAATTGCAAACTGTTGTGTTCAAAACCCTGAGGCTGAGCACATGAACTTCTATGCTTTTGGACTGTGCTGCATTTAAAACAGTATCAGACTATCAACACAAAAAATCTAGCCTGGATTATGGCTGGGGGTTTTGGTCAGGGAGAGAGCTGGTGGGTTTTTTTGGGGGGCTGGGTTGTTTGTTTTAATTCCAGAGTATATGGGCATACCCACACTGGTGTCTCAAGGTGGGTAAAACACCAGCATTATAAGTTTCACATAAGCAAAACCTATTTCTGCTCTGGAATATTCTCCTTTCATTCCACCAACAGACAATATTCCCCTTCCCAAAAGACCGCGTGTAAGTTTTCATGTTTGTTTCACTGCTCCTTCTCACACATGAAAAGACTACACAAATATGCCACTTCTTCCACATACCTTCCTTTTGTTTCTGTTCTGACAGGGAGCTCACTGACTCACAAGTCATCTGCATAACTGCCAACTGATCAAGTTTCTAGGTCAGAATTTTCTAAGCCACGAACAGACCCACTGGGATAATCAACCTAGTTCTACACATGTTTCTGGTAGTCTCCTCATCTTTCTTCCCATCCCACAAAAAGACTAAAACATGGATCAGAAACAGTTATTTCAGCACCATTTTTCTTCTTTGTCTCAGTCTTGGCTTAACGGGTTCATGCACACGCAGTACAGCAGGTACAAATACTCCTCAAGCAGCTCCCACAAAAGCTGAAAATCCATGCAGGGCTGCTGCCTCCAAAACAGTTCACCTGAGTTTCCCAGAAGGCAAAGAAAGCGGGCTGTGCAAATCCTGACCCCTAGGAAGCCCACCACTGCTTCCCCACAAGAAGCATTGAGACTCACTAACAAACACAAGTCGATCCCACCTCACTCATCCACAGAGAGGGACCTCCTGCATACCCAGAGATGAACAAACCCGCAGTGAGGGTGTAACACCACCACTGCCTTCCCTTACCAAAAAAATAAGATAATGGTCTAGCAAAGCATAAAGGTGGTAATCACTATTCTAGCTAAGTAATAGTAGATCAGCTTACAAAACTCACCTTTCACCACTGACTGATGAACTGAATCGGGATGTTGACTTTGTCATGCGCGTTACCTCAGAGTCTCTTTTCCATAAGAAGTGAAGTTGAATTCGCTACCTTCTGTTCTTCCCTTTATTTAGCCTCTGGTTCCTTCCCAAGCCTGTAGTCTTTCAAGATCCCTTTCTCCTCTCCACTCCACAAATAACACCAGCTCAGATACCACCTTAGTTACTTACCCTCTAGCGCTCGCTCAGTATTTGCTTTACTTCTGAGTTTCTTCAGTGGAAGAGATACCATCCTTTTACATAAATGCTACACAATCCAACTCTAAACTTTTACCTGTTACGCTTTGATGTTTCAGTGAACAATCTACATTAAGTATTTAATTATTTATGTGAGTCTGCTTCTGTTGTACAAACGTATACTCAAGCAACAGACCATGTAAGTCTGAAACAAAATCACAGCAACCAATTTCCACCATAGAGAATAAACACTCCTTTCAGTCTGTACCCTCAAGGTGCCTGTAATGGGATGTGAACTATTCCACCTGTCAAAGTAATAAAAGCCTCTCATGGTGAGTTTATCCTCTAATCTACGTGAAACGTGTTGGGTATTCGGGGATTTTTTAAGAGAAAGATCTGTCTGAAAGTTATGTACCCTGACAGCACTGTACCACCATCATTGCCCTAACTTTACAGAGTATCCTGAAGTAACTGATGGAAACTACAGCTCCAAGCTAGAGCTTCTGTCAGGCCTCAGATATAAGCGCTAACATGAAGCAGTGTGATAAGCCTCCCAAAAGCTGCACTTTAATTTCTTGTTACTTGTTTCTCATACCTGTTATAAGCCATTCAGTGTTTCTCGGTAGTTCTTATAAGCACTTCTGATCACAGAATCACACAATTGTCAGAGTTGGAAGGGACCTCTAGAGATCATCTGGTCCAACTCCCCTGCTAAAGCAGGATTGCCCAGAGCACATCACTCAGGACTGCATCCAGTTGGGTCTTGAAGATCTCCAGAGAAGGGGACTCCATGACCCCCTGGGCAGCCTGTTCCAGGGCTCCATCACCCTCACCGTAAAGAAGTTTTTTCTCATATTTGAGTGGAACTTCCTATGTTCCAGCTTGAGCCTGTTGCCCCTTGTCCTATTGCTGGAAACCACTGAAAAGAGTCCAGCCCTAACATCCTTCAACTCATCCTTTAGATACTTATAAACATAAATAAGGTCTCCCCTCAATCTTCGCTTGTCCAGGCTAAAGAGCCCCAGCTCTTAGAGATTTTCCTCATAAGTGAGGTGCTCCAATCCCTTAATCATCTTTGTTGCCCTTTGCTGGGCTCTCTCCAGTAGTTCCCTGTCTCTCTTGAACTGGGGAGCCCAGAACTGGATGCAGTATTCCAGTTGTGGCCTCACCAGTGCAGAGTAGAGGGGGAGAATGACCTCCCTTGACCTGCTGGCCACAGTCTTTCCTATGCAACACAGGATTCCATTGGCCCTCTTGGCCACAAGGGCACATGGCTGGCTCATGGAAAGTGTGCTGTCTACCAGGACTCCCAGATCCTTTTCCTCAGTAGTGCTTCCCAGAAGATCCATCCCCAACCTGTACTGGTGCCTGGGGTTCTTCCTCCCCAGGTGCAGGACCTTACATGTGCCCTTGTTGAACCTCATTATGTTCTTCTCTGCCCAGCTCTCCAGCCTGTCCAGGTCACGCTGGATGGCAGCACAGCCCTCTGGGGTGTCAGCCAGCCCTCCCAGTTTGGTGTCATCAGTGAACTTGCTGAGAATACACTCTGTCCCCTCGTCCAGGTCATTAATGAACACGCTGAACAGGACTGGGCCGAGTACTGACCCCTGAGGGACACTGCTGGTCACAGGCCTCCAACTTGACCCCACTCCGTTAATTAGAACCCTCTGAGTCCTGTCACACAACCAGGACGCAAGGATGAGATGTAACTCTCATTAAATTCACAAAAAACACTTCTTTTGCTACTTATGGATGGGTTAAGCCTTTGTATTGTTTTGTAACTGACAGATAAAGGAAAGCTCAATCTCTATGACCAACTTAAGATATTAAAAGCACCAAAAAATCACCTGCTGCCAAAAATAAATAGGCAGCAGTCTGTATCTCCCTGCCATAAGCCAGGTATACAACAGATTATTTGCTGATAATTTGATTTGCTGAGATGCTCATTCAGGTAAAGTCAGTATACGGATTTAGGTGTCAGGCATTCTGAAAATTTTAAGGGAACTATTCTCGGAACTGTTTTTCTGCCCCTCCAAAGAAGATCACCCAAATTATGCAGTTAATACGTAATTTATAGGCCCTCCTTCCCTCTTCTAGCCCTCTCTTTGCTTGAAGCATAATAGGACAAAGCAACCACCTTTGCCATATCATTCCAAAATTGCTGAACTCTCAAGACCCAGTATGGGTACCAGAATATGTTCAGAGCAGCCACCTGAACCTGACTTTCTAAAAGCATTAGACTTATTAAGAGTGTGTTAGCTGCTCTGCAGTATTTGCCTAGGCACTGTACACATGGAAATAAGTTTACTTTTAATAACAGAACAGACACCTTTAAAGGAGAGGAGAAAGCTACCAGAGTAGCTAAAGCATTGCTTACAATGTGGATTGTCTCACTGTATCTTATCCACCCTTTCAACTTTTAGATCCAATCAGTTTCTATCTCCCTCTCTCCATCATTTTTTTGTTATGTGAATGCACAAAAATGAGATGTAATACAGACTTCATTTCACAGCTGCCAACATCAGCAAAAGAAAAAACGTATTTAGTACTAGATGGTAAAGGTAGAATGAAAGGGATGATCAGTTTTTCAAATAGGGAAAATGTGAACATACGTGAATGCTAACACCTTACTTAGTGGCTAGAAAACACATTAAAATATCACTAAGAACTTATTCACTCAATGAAAAGGTAACATTAGTACCTCCTATTTTCAGCCAAACTTGCACCTTCATCCTTCAGCTCCTTGCTTTTCTTTACACAGTCTTCTAAGAGAATTTCCTTTCTTCGCTTAGTTGCATGCACCCAGTTTGCATCATCATCATCAGCCAGGTCCTTGTCATCCGCCGCTTCTGCTTCAAATTGCTGTGAAGTAGCTTTGGAAACTTTCTCGCCAATCTTTCTCTTCCACCCAAAAGAAGCCATTTGGAGAACTGGAGATGAAAAAAACGTTAGGAAATTTAGCTTTGAAGTACACGGAGGGAAAAAAAAAAATTAAAAATTCACCTCTTTCATCCCGATTCCAGACCAATACTATGTAACCCTGGGCCCCTCCCCCGCACAGACTCTGCCCATGGGCTCCACCAGGGATATGTCTCAGGCCACTGCGCCCATGGCGAGAGAGGCCCCTCGGGCCTGGCCACTGCCCCGCAGCGCTGCGGGCCCAAACGCCTTCGGCCCGGCCGCGGGGCCGGGTCTCGGCCCAGCGCCACCGGCAGGGAGGCGGCAGGGGCCGGGCAGGCAGCGGGGCTGGGGGAGGCCTCACCGCCGCGGTGGGAGCCCCGGGCCAGCTGCCGGTACCTGCCGCGCTCCTGCGGGCCGCACCGCCCCGGAACCCCCCCGCCGGCAGGAAGCGGAAGGGCGGGCGGCAGGGAAGGGAAGCGGAAGCGGAAGCGGCGGCCGGTAGTAGCGCTTGTGGGCGCTGAGGGAGCGGAGGTGGGGAGGGGGCCGCGCTGGGGAGCAGCGGGGCGAACGGGTTTTGGCAACACCATGGGATTAAAAGGAACAAACAGACTTAAAAGCAGGAGGTTCAGCGGGCTGATAGCCCAAGGAGCTCGGCTATACCGCACGAATCGGCTAAAAAATGTGCCCTTTAGCTGAACTTGGCCAATTCCAGGCTGGAGGTGGTTGAGGCACCATCCCTGGAGGTGTCCGAAAGACGGGTTGATGTGGTGCTGGGAGATACGGTTTCTTTTTGTTTGTTGTGCGGGTGTCTATTTTTGTCAGTTAGGTTGACGGTTGGACAAGATGATCTTTAAGGTCCCTTCCAACCTAGAAGATTCTGTGATTCTGTGAAAAGCCACCCCTCCAGAAGCGGGGAGGCGAGGGCACGCAGCCACTGCACAACCAAATCAGACACGGGACTTTAATTTGGAGACAAGGGTGTTTCACACCCATCACCTTCAAGATAAGGAACACGATGAGCGCCAGTAGAAAGTTGATAGCGACTATGTTAATTATGCTAATTCACAATGTATAAATGGATGAGGCTTTGAGTGCTGCACGTGCTCGCTTTGCGGAGATACCCCCTGGCACCCACTTCCACCCGGCACTGCTAACACATATCCAATACCTGGACTCCGTGTGTTACTCACCGGCTTGCACAGCTGGTATGCAGTGCCACCGGTCTGGGGACAACAGCGAGCGAGGGAAGGGGGGAATGGCACCCCCGTGCCACCCACAGCTCCGACCGCCCCGCTGCGGGGGACAGGAAACTCTGCCAGGAAAGCAGAGGCTGGAAAGTGGGGGTTTTCTCCTAAAGGGAAGGAAAAGACAGGCTGCGGGGTTTAAAATTGCTCCCAAGTCAGACACCGAGACACATCCACGGCGGTGCAGGGGAAGAGCAGAGCCAAAGAAGGGAGGGAGAAGGAGAGTCACCACAGGGCAGGGTGGTGGGGGACCTCCACACCAAGTATCCAGCATTCCTTCCATCTCAAATTCCTTTTTTTTTTTTTTTTTTAATAGAAAAAGCATTCACAGGATCTGGGGGAAAACAGCCAGTGACAGCTGGGCACCACCAGCAGCCCAGCCCGGAATTCTGTGGGAAGCTGTTGTCACATTACTGCTTATTCTAAAACAGTTCCTGCCACTGCTTTAAAGGCAAGTGTTAACGGCCCTTAAATTAGCCCTTGGTTAATTTATAAAGTACACAATACGAGAAGACAGCATGCACACAGTTTCAAACAGGATGGTTCAGTATTTCATGTTTACTTAGTTTTGAACGTTTAAAAAGTTAATACAGTTACAAACAAGCGTTTTCGCCATTCAGCTTTGTCAGAAGAAATTAACAGAGAAAGTAGGCACATCTTTGTTAAGGAACAGGACTTCATTATCTTACAATGGTAATCAACTGGTAAAATAAAATTTATTTCCAAGTTCATATTAAACACTCATATCAAGACAAACGTTGCTGTTTTTTTTTCTTTAAAATATTGCACCACCAAGACAAATTTTTATCAATTACCTAGTGTGTTATATTCTACATGGACAATCGGGTGCGTCCATGTTTTTTGAAAAAGTTACAATACAAAGGCCAGGTAATTCAACATACTCCAACGGGAGTAATCTTGGGAACAGAGAGTAACAGACTTGACCAATTTGTGTATTTGCATAAGCTGCCTCCTCAAGACCCCGGCGGCCCTCTTCAGGGAGGTTATTTCACAGCTCGCTGGCAGATACTCGTGCGAGACTAGAAAAAGGCCTGCGAGAGCAGCAGGAACACGTGAAGAAAGCAGATTCAACAGCAAGATCTACAAAGCGTAGGGAAGTGGCGCAACAGACAACTGCTCCAGGTCTAACTAGGTTGTCAGTGCCCCCCTCTCTCCCTCCCCTACCCCCAAAAAAAAAAAAAAAAAAAATCTCAGTTCAATCAGAAAACTTCTGGCCATCAAAACTGATTTATCATACCAATGAAATTTACTTTGTTTAAAACTACAAGTGTAGCAGTACTTCTGCCAGAAACCTACTTTAGCCTCGATACCAAGACAAAGGAAAAATAATGGTTCTTTTGATGCATAAGAGGGCCAAAAAAAGTATTTAAAAATGAAAAGCTAGTTGCGCCTTGACACCTTGCATTTGTGGTCAGCATTACAAGGAGCAGATACGATTTATAAATATTTAGTTTAACATATGCATGAGTGATCCCAAACCAATTCCAGATGAGGAATTACTACAATTAAAAAAACCTGTGCGTTTGTTATTTGTACAAGTGCAATATTTAACAATTTCAAAATAAAAGGGTAACAAAAATGAACACACCGATTTATTCCATAACATCAGAACCAATTCTTACAAGAATAAAAACAGGATTTAAAAACAGGATTTGCAGCTGGTCCCTCATGTTGACATCTCAATCTCAGGCGTTTAACCCCAAAGCTTTATTTAAGGAACACTTTCCACTTCCAGATGCAGTAATACAACCTTGCATTACAGGGACACTCGAGGATAAAGAACTGAAGCTGTAACTTGTACCCACACGCCAGACAGACCACACCACTGCCCAAGTTCAGAAGGAAGGTACAGCAGTTCCGGGACTTAAAGCAGCTTTATGTTTCTCCAGATTCTGTGCATGTTTGTAACAGATGAATTTCTGGATTGAAGCCAGCTGGCCTGGATTAAATTGTTCTTATACCTGTAGCTAGCAGTTTTCTGTGGCTGAAGTCTCAGTCACTGGCAAGAATCCCCATACATTTTAAGAGCCCTGGTTTCACTGTTCATAGCAGTGACTTGATTTCCAGTGTCTCCCTGGGAGAGTAGCTTTTGAAAATGAGTAGGTGATGAAGCTTATTTTGAAGATAACATTAATTCTTGAATGCAAAAATCAAACATTTCATGACACAGTTTACTGTTCGTGTCTACTAGCACTAGATGAAAATGAAACTGTGGCCAATGATATCCAATTTACAAGAGACTAAGTGCTTTTGTGCAAGTACAAGCTGTGATTTTAACATCTAAGATTCAATTTTCTTCCTGAAACATTGCAAAAACAAAAATGCAGGAGGATTTGTGTTATTGGTAATTGCAATTTACTGTTGAAAACTTTTGGATTATTAGCATTCAAGTTGTCATGATCAGTTTTCAATGTTCAACTGAAATGTCATTCTATTTAATTTCACAATTAATTTAATAGCAAAGTTTCCTATAAAGGTGGACTGGGAAAGACTAACCTGTATGTGTAGTTTGAACAGCAAAGTGAATTCTACGTAGTATATGCTAACTTACAATGTGATAAACAGCTGCATCAAAGTATTAATATATGCATTAAAAAACTGTCAATTTTAGATTCTGGAACAGCATGCAAGAGCCCTTACGGGTTCTGCTCTTAACCACATGCTGATGTTTGTAAGGAGAAGGGTTCTCAGCCCGCAGTAGCAATGGGGAGCTGCTGTGCCAAAGCACACTAAGGTAAATGCACAGATCAGGAGCTTGCTGACAGCTCTCCTTCAGAGAACCACGTTTTGTTTTAGCCCATGGGGTGCCAAGTCTCCTCAGCCTTAAGTCTCTCGCCAATGTTGTGGACTCCATTGTTCTACTCAGCCCACGGAATTTCACCCATAGTGCATCACAGAGCACCCACACACATTTCCAACTGGTTGGATTTGCATGCATTTCATCAAATTTATCAATTGTTAAAAGGAGTAGATAGTAACACATTAAACTATTTTGTACCAAATAAGGGGGAAGAAACAACAGTTTTAACACATTACTGTTAGAAGATGTTGATCGTTCTGACCAATTGATGCGCAGCTGTAGATGGTGACCAACTAGTCACACTTAGGTCACTGAAGTAGTAAATGTACTTACAGTGCATCACATGTATTACCAGTAAAAAAAAACCAAACAAACCAACCATGAAGGTCCACCTAATTTAAGTGTTACATGCAGCCTAATGTGCACTCAATGTAAAATGTGATGAACACTGCCCCATGGGCATGTATTTCCTGTACCTGTATTATGCTGTTGGACAGCAGATAATCAGAATTCACTCCAGCTTCAAAATAATGTACTTTAACTGCCCATAACCATTTCAATCCCTGTGCAAATTTCATTCTGTGGCTAGATTTTTCAGCGCCTTAGTTAATTTAACTTGATTATAATTGGAAGCATCTGACTATGATTTAGGCATGCTTATTGCTATAAAAGAAATAAGCCCATCTTCAAAATTATTGTGCAAGTATTTTAATAAGATTTGCACACATCTCAAAAAATTCTATTGTATGACTCCCTGGTCTTGGAGTTAGGTCAGCCGTAGAAGACTCAAGCGAAGAGTTCACTGATGAGGTAAGGGATGCATCTGCAGATTTTCCTTGCGCATCACCATCTGAATCTTTCTGACAGGATCTATAGTTGCTCACAGAACCTGATCTCTGTGGAGTCGCAGTCCCAGACTTTGCTTCAGTAATTTCATCTGGAAGGCAAGGGGAGAACGGAGGAAAATTAGGTATCAATATCAAATCTGTTAGTTATGGAACAGCGAACATCTTCCCTTTCTCACACTTCTCTCTTTTTTTTAAATCTTGACCAATACATAAACAGCTTTTGCAAACTGTATATATTTGATAGAAAATAAAAGCTTATACATACAGTAACACAGAAACAAGTGTCCTTATGCAATTTATTCTTGTACTGTGAACAGTGTTCCAGAAATGTTTACATCTAGTTTATACCAGCACTCACCGTATTTTTCATTAATAAATGTCAGCAGCTAATAGTTCAATTTAGGTTACTTAAACAGAATAGCATCCTAAG